ATCTCAATTGATCTTGATATTTTAGACTGACCGGAGGCCGTATTTTTACAACATCAAACAAACTTACTTCACTTTTGCGGCCTGTTCCCCGCGCGACCATTTGCGGACTACATCGGAGGTTGCTTGGGAATACATCTCGACTCAATGGCCAGCACAAATCCACTTACCCCTCTGACACAACCCGCCTTGGCCCACGATAAACCATCACTGCGCTTCCCGTACTGTATCTATGCTCACCTGAAAACTGTACACAAACCCACGGGCGGGCGTACACCCTCCGGACGACATCAGGAAGAACTCAACAAAACGTTGGTCCAACAAGGAGATCGCGGCAATGGCCCGGCGCCAATACTACTACCAACTGGTTATGGGTAAACCGCCAACCTCAAACCGAGACACGGCCAGACACGACAGTTTCAATCGCTGCTTCGAGTCTACACCAATCCGGTTCTGTGCTATGATTGTAACGAATACGTACATGTTCACATTGCTCGACTACCGCACCGACGGCTGTCTCTGCCCTGTCTGCCCCGGTAGCCACAAGTTCACTACCAGCCACTTTACCTGCATCCAACAACTGATTCGACGCATCCTGGTAGGCCGAAAACTGCCACCTATTGTCCCTGACCTCCTTCAGCAATTACAGGAGTGCCACAACTTCCACGGTATCTGGACCCTCCACGAACACCTTGGATCTTTTCTCCAGCATGTTGAAAAACCACCGTACCCTCACCCGTCCCTGACACATTAACAGATGTTCCTCATACCCCGGCTAATTACGCTGTTGAAGTGCTACTTACAAATATCGGTTTAACCCAAATTATCGCGCTTGTTGGTTCCGACTATGATACTTCCGATCCAGGCCAGCCAATACATACCGAATTCAACCGTGGTCTGGTGCGACATTGGCTTACCCCCATCCTCGCTTCTCGACCGGATTATGACGGATAACCTGGTCCTTCTCGGTATTTCGTACTCTGCACTAACCCATTCCGTGGCACTACACGGAACATTCGATAGTAACAGTGTTTTGTCAACACCGGCCCGAATTGATTCAGCACATATCTTCCATTGTCGACTCACTTGTCCCAAGCTTCAAACGGAAATTTATTGACCACTTCTTCCCATCAATCTTTCCTAAACCACTACAGCAACTATGAGAGCCATACCATATGTTCATACATTGTATCATATATACTTGCCATTTTTGAAATAAATAATATTATCCCTATGTCTATGGCGATTGGGATGAGTTAGTTTTTTATATAAACTGGCATCCGCTTTCGTAAACGGCATATATGAGGGTGATGCCTGGTCCGGTTGAGTAGCCTGACCGAGGGGAAGATTGCTGACATCGACGATTACAGCTTTTCCTGGTACGGTTTACGGCAAGTGGAGCGGGACATTTCGACATATTTATTTACATGTCCCTATGTCTATGGCAATTGGGATAAGTTAGTCTATTATATAAACTGGCATCCGCTTTCGCAAACGGCATATATGGAATAATGGATGAAAAAAAGAGGTGGTGTGGGTGGGAGTAGAAGGAATAATGGATGATGGACAGTACCCTGTCTGTAGTCTTTCTATAGTCAATCTTGGTTGTCTAAAAAACTGGGAGTAGGACAGATGATTGTTTAACTTCATTGGTGAGATCATAGATTAGAGTAATACTCTAATCTATGATTACACGATGACGGTAAAAATCATCTGGATCTACTCCATAGTCCATAATAATATATGAATATAAACATTCGAATATATTATTTTGTTTCATAACCACCGTAGGTTCCTCCCGTTTGCGTATGTTGGCTCCCTATACTTGTAGTAGGCACCCGTTGAGTAGGCGATCGGCCTCTGAAACGGGTGTTACCGATAAGTATTCTTCGATCGATTGCCTGTCAACACTCATGATGCCGGAGATTATGTCGTCGGGCACCCATAGGCTAAACGCACATTGCACGAAACCTCGGCGAAATGAGTGCCAATGGATATATTTGTAGACCTGGGGTGCCGTAAGTGCTCCTGCGCGAACGAATCGTTGACGTATCGAGCCTTCGTATGTTGTTTTAGGACTGCTGTGTAGTTCACATAATGATGAGCACGTACATATCATCACACAGCTCCTCCGTAGCACGCAAAGATGCCAGCTCTTTGTCTTTCGTGAGGTATACATATTAAACGATCATTTGGTATTAGTACACTTTCGTCATAAATTACACTTAGTATCACTTTATAGTTTATACCTAATTTATAAAACAAAATATATATTTAGAAATTGGAAAATATCATGTGCAGCCACTCATTGGTGGAAATAATTTAAATTTTCAAAATAATCAGGTTTTGAAAAAACACATTTGTGGTGATCGTAGACGTAAGTATAATACGTATTTACGTTTAAATTCAATGCGTAAACGTCAAAGCGTAGTACGTCTATGCTGTATATGGTTTACGTTATGAGCCTTGCTCTCAATACTTCTATGCCCAAAGACTCCGTATGTATTTGTATACAATCGTACAAAGTCTAAAAGACAAAACTCTTTAAAGTGTAAACACTGTAAAGACTCCAAACTCCAAACTCCAAACTCCAAACTTCAAACTGACCAATTATTGAAAAAATAGTCCAGAGTGAATCAAGTGACCATTGGTCACCTGTGACAGTGGTGAGTGGTGAGTGGTGACTAGTGACTAGTGACTAGTGACTAGTGACTATGTAGTCACTACTCACTCTAGTGACTAGTGACTAGTGACTAGTGACTAGTGACTATGTAGTCACTACTCACTCTAGTGACTAGTGACTAGTGACTAGCGACTAGTGACTAGAGTGACTAGTGACTAGAGTGACCACATAGTGACTCTAGTAACCAGGGCAGTAACCACTAACCAGTGACCACTGACCAGTGACCACTCTTAAATCAACCCACTCTCTAGTCTCTACTCTCTATTAAATAGTCATAAGTTCACCACTCACGGTCACCGCTCACAGTCTCACAGTCACTGCTCACAGTCTCACAGTCACCGCTCACAGCTCACCCCAGAGGCCCAGGCAGTCTCCAATCAGTGACACTCACCAGTCACCACTCACCACTCACCATTCAGCAGTCACCAGTTTACCACTCACCCACCTCAGAGCATTGACCAGAGCTATAGCGGGATAAATTTAAATAGCCTCAGCCCCCACAAGCCACAAGGTAAATATTTATGAGAAAAAGAGAGAGCGAGAAAGTGACAACTGACAACTGACAACTGACACGACGCCAGACCAACATTGACTGTCGTCAAAAAGCAAAAACTAATCTTATTGATTTAGAATGCTACAGTATGCTAATTTTTTATATATAAAATATAAAACACAGAAAACAACGTTGGGAGTACATATCTACAAAAAAACAAATAAAATAAAAGTTATGCATAAATATTTTTAGTATCCTTCTGAAAAGGCTCAAAGTGAGACTAGGTGTGAGTCTGTGAGAGCCTGAGCTGAGCCCTGAGAAATTTATATAATAATAAAATAATAAAATAAATACATTTACAGTCTTTTACACAGAGAGAGTATAAAAAGAAATAATTTGAAATAAATTCAAAGTATGGCTAATTTTTAGAGGCTAACCGCTAAATACATATGTTAGAACGGTCAGAACGGTCAACGGAGTCAACGGAAAGAAAATATAGTAAATATACAACATATTCACAGGAAAAAAATGTTGTCGTTTTTTATTAAATTAATAACACTAGAGTAAATAAATACGTGGCCGCAGGGCGCAGGCGCCCGCAGCTGGCAGGACATGATGAAGCAGGCCGCAAGTTCGCAGCTCTCAACTCGCAACTCGCAATGTTTTTAATATATATAAAAATACACAATCTTCTATATATAGTGAGTCCCACCATAAGCTCGTAACGTTAAGAGGGCACGGGAAAGAAGTTGAACATAAACGCATATTTATTCAAATTTAAACGATATAACGGTTATATTGAGATCAGAAGGGTCTACCTAATTTCTACAATAGAACGGGTTCCTATCGTGAAAATGGTACACAATTAAATATTTCGACCCGAAAGTTGTACCTATTATCATTAAAAGGACCACATATGGAATAAAAGTTGAACGTAAACGTATATTTATTCGATTTGTAAAAGTTTTAACGGAAAATGGTTTAAGGATATATACTGTTTTTACTATTTTTCATGCAAATTGAAGCTATAAGCTTCTCTATAGAGTCTGGAACATTGGATCTTGCAGACTCGATGTCAGAATTTTGCGCTCAGAATCTCAGATAGCTGTACTCTAACACAGCGTCCGGTGCTCTGCAGTGGGACGGAAATGCGATTTGAATCATAAAGCAGAATCATAGAAACAGTGTTTCTGATCGTGCAGTGCCGCTTCCTTCCCTAAATCCACAATGTATCTGCGCAAATTGAAACCTTTTGTAGTACTTGCATACCTGAACAACACAGTAGAACATTCTCTATCACAAAGACCGTGATTCCAAAAGTAAACACTAATCTATGGATGTCTGTCCATCCTTGTTTCACTAGACAAGGGGCGTGTGAGTAACATACTTATGAGCATAATAATGCTTACGTCTTTTGGATATGTGGGAGAAAAATTGTACACAAAAGTCTACCATGTTCAACAGCTTTGCAAGCCTTGTTAGCTTTAATTGACAATGAGTTCCACATTTAATCTACGAATCAGCAGCTGGTTTGTCCATACTCGCTTGGTGTATTGAAGGCTCAAAATCGTCGAATATCTTCTTCTCTTCAATCGCTTTCTATGAACAAAATTGAACAAAAGGATCAATACTTCATGGGCAACCAGTGCAAATTCCAACAGTTCACCTTTCGCGAAATGTGAATCGATCTGCAGTCTGCGTGATGATTAACAAATTATAGCGACTGCTGTTTTGCTGAACAGATCATTTTGTACTACTAAAGATTCGACTGCTCGAATAGAACCAAAAAAAAAGTGGAGGGTTGCTCTGAAGACCATATTAAATTAAAACATCATTCGGTTCTCGCAACCAGATCATACTGAAAACGTCGGAGGCTGTCATATATTTAGTGCTCGAAAGAACTACGACAAGAAACGAACTTCCGAAAGTGCTTTCTGACATACCATGACACACGACTTGTATGTTTCAAACAGCTTATCACATTCCGTCTCACCACGGCCCTCTCCTTGCAAAAACTTTGTTGTGTACCATTTATTGAAGCACTACAACAAGTCGAGAGGAGAGAAAACAAGTCAGGACTATTCAAGAAATTATTTTAATACTATACTATGAACGTGTCAACGCTTGATAAATAAAAGAAGTAGCAACTCCAGCGGACCGAAGCCGCACGAGTGCCTCCCTAAAGGAGCACACTGGCGATTTTAGAAAGAAGCAGTCACAGTGCACCGCATGGAAGTGAATAATAAAAGTTTCAGCGTTTCGAAGCAATAGCAATTAATATAGTTCGTAGGCTCACATACCTCATCGTAGACGGCTTTTAAGGCCGTACATTGCTCACCCACGCTGTTCATGTTGCTCCGTTCGTTGTCAGGCTGAGGGAGATTTGCGACCCCCCGACCTGACAAAGTCAAGTAGCAGATGAAACATGGATTAGACAAAAATGAACTCTTATGGTCAAGAATAAATTATTTTACACTAAGATTGCCCATAGTGAGAGCATACAGAGCCACTGTATTCACCATATGTACTATCTATACTGCCTGTGTCTATCTGAAGAAGCTAGCCCTGTAAATAATCAGCCATTAGTAAATTAAGTTCAAAATTTACAACACCAGAGATTTCAGATTCCATATTTGACTCAGTACAATCGCGACCACAATATTATTTACATGTAGGCTTCACTGCTGTCAGGATTCGGTTCGAAAATCACAAACATATATCCGATAAATTAAAACCCCAGATGATGGACACTATGCGCAGTCACAAAAGTATCGAGATTTGACATATTCGCTATAAATATATAAATATATATATATATATATATATATATATATCTATTTATATATATATATTATATATATATATATATATATATATATATATATATATACTATATATATATATATATATAGT